TAAAGTACAAAGAATGAATCTCTTTCAGTGTATACTTTTCCTGTTCCAATCTATATAAATTACAAATAACACTTAAGGTTTAGGAGTCTATTTTTCAACATGTTTAGAATATGAAGCAATCCAAAAGAATTCATTATACTTATTAAAAACTGCTGGCAAGGTATCACAATTGGAATAGTTTACCACTCTTTACTACTTACTTTCAAAGTAATCAGATGAGATTTGATTATCGGGTATATGGAGATCAAAATCCCTGTATAATGTTCCAAGGTAAATACCTCAATTATACTATGAAAGAAAATTGATTTTTGTGTATCTCTTGTTGTAGGGGATTATTCAATTAATAGTCAGCAGTACAGGTGTCTGATTATGACATTTTTGTACTATGGTAAGTTAACGTGTCCCAGTTCAGTGGTTTAAACTTGCTGCCAAATTTACCTAGAGAATGGACTGATGAACAGTATTCATTCTTTACTATATATAAATAGTGGATGGTGGCTTCAAGGTATTCAAGAACTTTTATCATATAGAAAGTGAAAATGTAAAAGGCTCCAAAGCTTGCTCTCTCTCTCTCTCTTTTTTTTTTTTTTTTTTTTTAAGTTTTATGCTTAAGTACAGAAAACATTGCCTTGGATACACTGTTTAATATATACAGTAATTAAGTGGTAATACAAAGGGAAATGACTGTTCTTCCTTCAGCACACAGCCACTGAGGACAGAGGTCTTATTCAGGGGTTGATGAGAAGATTTTAAAATGAAAATCATTATTGGAAGCTTAATTAGTTAAAAAAAGTAAAAACATCATATTCATTCTGGGTACAGTGTTATATATTATTATTCTTAATGGACAGCACTCCATGTGTTTCTTTGTTCCAGATCACTTTCTTTAGCTGCAATAGCTGTGTAGCCTAAAGTAATGTCTAGATAACTGGTTGTAGTATTAAATACTGAATTGAAATAAAACCATGTAAAGGTGGTCTAAAAAGTAAATGGCTATCATAATACCTTAACAAACTGAAACCTGTTTCTTCCATGATATTTTTTTAAGTGCATCATCAATTTTAAAATGCTTCAGGAGATAAAAATTAGTTTTTCATTGAAGTATGCTAAATGTACATTTTATTAATTTATTTTTAATGGAAGTATATCTATGCACCACATCTTAAATCCCCATTCTTTTCTTGATTTTTATTTCAGTGTTTAAGGGTGCCTATATGCATCCTCTGGGGTGGAGGGGATGGTGGAATTAGAGTGGCTCTTAAAGCCACTCTACTTAAAAGTGCCTGCAGCGTCATGTGTATTCGGTAACCCACACTTTAAAATTGTGGTGGGGTGCTTTAACTAAAGCGTGTTCTACAGGGAACGAGCAGGAAAGGCAGCTGGCTCTATCATGTGGGGCTTCCCCTCAGTGGCACGCAAATGCTGGGAGCTGCACATGCACTGCGGGAAGCCCCATGTGATAAGAGATGGGTTGGCCTGGCCCCATTCCCTACTGCTCTGTGCAGCTCCCAGAACTGGCTGGAGCTACATGCTGCTGCGTGGTAATACCTGCGTGGGCCATGAGCACCCCAAGGGACTACTGCCTGCTGCTGCCAGCAGCAGGGGCTATGCACCATGGGGAGGAGTGTGTGTGGGGGTGTCAGAACGCCCCCCCCCACCTTCCCTTACACCCCACAAACCCCATACCTACACCCTGGCCCTCCAAAATCTACCCACATATATACACACCTCCACAACATACCCTACACCCCCCATGCACAGCCACACCACCTCACAAAGCCCACCCCACCATACACACCAACCACACCCCACACAATATACAAGACTAAGACTTTATTTTTGAGCTATTATGCAATCACCTCTATATATACTACACAAACACAAATCATGACAAATATTTTTGTAATCAAATTAAAATGTTATAGTAGATATTTGACTTTTAGTATATGACTTTTTTTCTGGTAACATAAAAAAGATAACCTGTGAGAGGTTATACCAGGGATTGTTAAGCATACAGGAGAGAGAGGCTTCCTGCTCTTAGTTACAGTTTCCAGCCCTGCCTCAGTGAAGACAAGGCAGAAGGCAAGGTAGAGTTGCACCTCATAGACTAACTAAATCGAATATAAACTTCTTTAAGCAATAGGTTACTTCATGAGGAAATAGAGCTTCTAAATAGAAAGCAGCACAAGTCATTACAGGGAAGATCCAGCTTCAGTCCTGTGATCCTGGTCTGGATTATCCTCAACCTATCTGTGGGAGTGGCATAAGGGCATGTGCATTATCTATGTATGTGTAGGAGCTTTGGGGGGCTTGAGCATGGTCAGTGAATTTGGAATATTTTGATTTTTAGCTTTTAAGCTCTACTAAGTCTTTGCTGAGTGTATGCAAACTGTAGATGTTCAGAAGAATACAATTTCTGGTTGTGTGTGTGTAGACATCTTGTCTTCATTGTACTGAACCTTGGGAGTTAGAAGGTAAGTGCTGTAATGTGAAGTAAGGTGTGTTCAGCTAGTTCAGGGGTTGACAGCCAGGGGTTTATGTACCCCTGGGTGTACTTGGGAAGGCCCCAGAGGGAGCAGTGGCAGAGCAGTTCACGGAGCAGTGGCGTGGAGAAGCAGGTGCGCTTCCAGTTTTGCCACCCGCGTTTCCGGCTTTGATCAGCTGCCCCCACCGCTGGGGGTACACCAACCAAAAAAGTTTGAAAACCCCTGAGCTAGTTAATAGATTCCTTCAAAGCAGGGGTCTTTTTGCCTAGGGCATGGGATAGTTCCAGCCTGGAGCATGTAGCTGATGTAGCAGGGACAGCTCTTGCTCTGAGTTAGGGCATGCAGTGGTGACAGCAGCATTAGAGCATACAGTGCTGGAGCTGCTACTGCTGTCACATGCTCTGTCATGGCCACACCTGTACCTTTAGCATGGGGTGCGTGGTGGTAGCAGTAGCTCCAGCATGGGGCAGCAGTGGAACCAGCAGCTGAGCAGGTAGGGTTGTGCCAGTGGCAACAAACAAAGCAGCTTCAAGACAACTGGGGCTGTATCAGCCTACCCTTGCCCTCATGCCACCAATTACCATGTCCAATGGGACCCAAGGATTCTAGATCCTGCGATAGGCCACTCCCCCAGCCATATCGCCTAACTTCCCATGGTCTATCAGTAATTTGACACCCTTGCTTTAAGGGATTTGGAGCTTTCAGATATTGTCCCAAAGCCTTCACTTAATTGGTAAATTCCATTATATTTGCTATAATCATTTGGCTTTCTCCTATCACCATTTTTCAGTGCCTCTTCTGGTTATATCTGAAAAGTGTGAAATAAGTTTAAAAGGGAAGAGATGTATCTACCTCTATAAATTAGCTTTTAATACTCTCCCATAAATATGGACTAGAGAATTGGGTGGCAAGATCCAAGATCACTTATTGATCGAAAGGACTATCTAATTTAGAATTTAGTAATTAGTTTTCTTAGAGTATACTTAAAAACATTTATTAAGATTCCACAGGTTGAATATGACCACTGCGGTATAAGTAAAATGTCCAATGTACTATTTGCAGTATTGCCAACTCTTATAATTTTTGGAATTGTAAGAATGACAGGAGGCAGGGACGGAGTGCCATCACCCACAACCCCATGCCACCGCCACCTCCTGGGGAGGGGGAAGCTTGCCTCGCCATCCCCTTCATTTCTCTCCACCAGCACCCTGCACCACCACCACCACCTCCAGCACCGCTGGCTTCTCCTGCCTCCCGGCCCTGCTTCTCGGAGGTGGTGGAGCGCCGCCATGACGGTCGGGATGGAGCTGGCCTTGCCTCCACCACTCCATCCATGCCATCATGGCAGCGCTCCTTTGTCTGTCTATCTGTCTATCTGTCTATCTAAAAGAAAAAGCTAAGTTTTTCATATTCCCAAAGCATAGACTTTAAGAACAATTCCAAAAATTATGAGAGTTTGCAATGCTGCATTTGTAACTTGTCCAGCAAAAGATAATCGAGCACAACTTTAGTTTTGACTTAGTCTTCTGAAGCAAATGAGTCTTTGTTACCCTTTTTATGTAGAGGTACAATAGCAAGCCATGTTTAATAAACATAAGCCATATTTAATTTGTCTGTTATATTCAAACTGAGAGAAAAGCCATGTGCATAATTGCCCCAGTCTCCAAATAATAAATATTCTGATTGAGGCACATAGTTACTTTCCTTAAATATATTATACAGTTGGAAATGCTGTGTATTAATGTGTTAGCAGTTCTTAAAATTTACTAACCCCAAACTGTTTCTTCGCTTTGTTTTTATTTATTCAGCTGAGAAATGTGAAGTCAGCTGGGTTGCAAAATTATGGAAACGTTCATTGTAGCTGATAAATATGAGTCTTTTGTTTTCTTGCATATACATTAATACTCTGTTATTTTTTATGTTTAGAGGTAATTATTTTACAAATAGTTATCACTTATTTTAAAGGATGCTTGCTGTTCAGCGTACTTCCTGATTTTTTTTCAGCATTAAGTGAAAGTAGACAATTTGTGCATCCTTTATATTCAGTCATATATTTAATGGAAGTGCTTAACATTTCTCAATTTCCTTGTTCTATTCTTCATTACTAATTTTTTGTTTTTCATTATCCAATCAGTATGAGTCCTGTTGTGCATTTTATAAACTTAAGTAGACATGGCTGTTGCTTGAAAGAGCCTACAGTAAAATATAAATTATTATAATGATTGTATTTTTCTGTTTACTGCACGTTGTACAAAGTTCAAAGTACTTGGTAAATCAATGGCATTTACTCTATATTTAAACTACTATAACTGCATTTATCTAAACAGCTTAAGGGCAGCAAACTAAATCCAAAATAGTTGTGTACCTCCATTTTTCTGTATTTTTCTCTTGATTTTAACAGGTTGTATGCAAACTATTGTTTTTTTTCCTTTTGAGTTATTTTTAGACTGTGGTTTGATAATTAGAACTGCAAAAAGCTTCCACCAAAAGTATTTGTTTTGTCTTTCAGAGCAAATACACAGGCACTTGGATCAACATGAAGTGAAATACTTGCAATTTGCGTTCCGTTGGATGAATAACTTGCTGATGAGAGAAGTTCCCCTGCGGTGTACCATAAGACTATGGGACACTTACCAGGTGAGTACTTGCTTTATGCCTGCATAGTTGCAATGAATGTTTCATGTGTTAAGAAACAGTGCTCCTTACTTGTCCCATAAAGCCTTGTGAATGAGATTTATGCTGCTTCCTATTCAGGAAGTAACCTAGGTGGGCCAGTGCAGTCTGTTTGATGGATCTTCTGCCTGGAGCAGTAACTTTGTGATGTAGACATGCACTGAGAGAATAGCATGAAAGCATCTCAACTAACGGAGTGTAAGGTTCTGTTTCAAAGGTTTAGTTTTAAATAAATTGTCTTTATAAAGAAGAGTAATAATTATTAAAATAATGAAAACAAACTTGAATTTGAAAATGAGAGATGTTTTGTTGAAAATGTGAGTAGTGTTATATAGTATTAGAAGAGGTACAGGACCTACCCTTGTGAAAGTTCAGTGTTTCTTTCAGATTATCTGGATTTGTGTAATTTGTGTCATCTGTATCTGGAGATAGTTGTATGTTACAATAAAAATATCCTTGCTAAGGTTGCAGTATCTTTCATAACTTGCAATTTCCTTCACTACGGATTTTTGTTTTGTAGCAGTTGCTTTTCCCAAGGCAGTATATTTTGAACACCCCAAACTGAACTTTAAGAAACTGGAGCAATGTTAAAGCTGTCTCTTTAAGAACACGGAGTAGATTAGGTAGTTATTGTTTTATGACTATGAAAACATTTTATTAAAATAAGAATTTCTTTGCCAGATTTGAACATGATACTTTCTGGAGAGAAGTTCTTTGAAACATGCTTATATAGAGGATACTTCAGAGACTAGCTGGCAGAATTTACTGTGGTTACTATGTTTTTTTTAACAGGAAGCTTTAACATAAAAGCCACATGACACTTTAAGGGTAGTGTCATGTGGCTTTTATGACCTCCTCAGCAATTGACTGTAAATTGAATTATCCTGAAGAACTGGACATTCTGGTTTTGGTAGTAGTATCTATCTGAGCTTCATCTCCCTCAGTACAATGTATTGGGTTAGCATTTGGTGCTTCTTTTTCATCAGCATGTATGGAAAATTTCTTAGTTATGAGTAACTCTTCAAAGCACTATCTTCAATCTTCCCACCTTTAAATCAAGCACTTAGTATTATGTACTTGATGCATCTTTTACTGTCTGCACTGCTTCATGCTACTACTCTTTAGCATTGAAGAAGAGAGAGTTATGTGGCAAATGAGAGAGCAGTGGCAAATGTAGAATTAAAAAATGTGAATACTAAAATAGTTGTTTAACTAGTATGCATCGGGGTTAGGTATTTGGTCAAAAATAATTTTCTCTCTCAAGTATTGTCAAATAATATAAAAATGGTAAAATAGTTTTAAAGCATTCATTTATTAAGAGATTAAGAACAGTAACAAAAAGATATTTTATAATCATCAACAGGTTAGATACTTTTGTTTAAGTCCAAAAAACAGAAATACTTAACTCGGCTATTTTTAGCACAGAAAAAAGTGAAAAATAATACAATTCTTAAATGTGGTTAGGTTAATATTTACATGTGAACATTAAATACTCACCTTTAAATTTAAATATTTAACATGAACACCTCTTCTTGACCTGCTGCTCATAAACAGGTAAGAAAAGATGGGGATATAGAAGTGGATGGCAGCTTGGGCAGCAGCAACCATTAGAGGATTGAGTTCAGGATCCTGAGGTAAGGAAGGAAGGAGAACAACAGAGTAAGGATCTTGGACTTCAGAAAAGAAGACTTTCTGAAGTGAAGGGATGTGAAGGGTAACAAGAAGGGTTTCTATAAGTATGTCAGCAAAAAGAGAAGGATCAGGGAAAGTGTAGGTCACTTACTGAACAGGGACAGCAGCCTAGTGACAGATGATGCAGAAAAGGCTGAAGTACTCAAATCCCCTTTTTACCCACTCTTCACAGGCAAGGTCAACTCCCAGACTACTGCACCTGGCAGCACAGTTTGAGGAGGAGGTGAGCAGTGGTGCAAGAACAGGTTGGGGATTATTTAGAAAAACTGGACATGTACAAGTCCATGGGGCCAGATGTGAAGCACTCGGTTGTTGAAGGGGTTGGCTGATGTGATTGCAGAGCCACTGGCTATCATCTTTGAAAATTCATGGTGGTCAGGAGAGGTTCTGGATGATTGAAAAGGGCAAATATAATGCACATATTTAAGGAAGGAAAGAGAGAGGATCTGGGGAACTACGGACTGGTCTGCTGCACCTCAGTCCCTGGAAAGATCATGGATCCAGTCCTCAAGGAATCCTTTTTAAGCATTGAGAGGAGAAGGTGATTAGGAAGTCTGCATGGATTCACCAAGGGCAGCTCAATCTTAACCAACCTGATTGCTTTCTGTGATGAGATGACTGGCTCTGTGGGTACATGGAGAACAGTGGATGCAATATACCTTGACTTCAGCAGAGCTTTTGATATGGCTTCCCACAACATTCTTGCACACAAGCAAAGAAAGTACGGGTTGGATGAATGGAGTATAAGGTGGATAAAAACTGCATGGATCATAGGGCTCAAAGGCTAGCAATCAGTGGCTCAGTTTCTGGTTGTCAGCTGATATCAAGTGGAGTGCCCCAGGGGTTGGTCCTGGGGCAGGTTTTGTTCAATATCTTCATGGAAGATGGGATGGAGTGCAATTTCAGCAGGTTTGCAGATGACACCAAGCTGGGGGGGGAGTAGTCGATACACTGGAGGGTATGGCTAGTTGGATTCGGAGAGACCTTGACAGACAGGAGGATTGGACCAAAAGAAATCCCACGAGGTTCAATAAGTGCAAGTGGAAAGTTCTGCACTTAGGATAGAACAATCCCATGCACCAGTGCAGGCTAGGAAATGCCTGGCTAAGCAGCAGTTCTGCAGAAAAGGACCTTGGAGTTGCAGCGGATAATAAGCTGAATATAAGCTAACTTTGTTGTTTGCTACCACCAGTACCAATAATTCAGTTATGTTCTTTGAAATAGGTCATTGCAAACTTCAAAATGATTGTTTTTGAGCCCATTATTTCTGAAAATAAAGTATGAAAAGATTCCCTAAGTTTGCTTTTGTTGTGAAGAATGCTAGTGGTATACTAGCCTTCTAGGCAATACTAGGCATTAATAGGAACATTGCCAGCAGATTGAGCGAAGTGATTATTCCCCTGTATTCGGCACTGGTCAGGCCACATATGGAGTACTTGCTATGTGCAGTTCTGGGTCCCCCAACTACAGAAAGGATATGGACAAATTGCAGTGTCCAGCTCAGGGCAATGAAAATGGTTGGAGGGTTGAGGAACGTGACTTCTGACGAAAGCCTGAGGGAACTGTTCTTTAGTCTGGAGAAAAGGAGTCTGAGTGGGGATTTAATAGCAGCTTTCAACTACCTGAAGGGGGGTTCCAAAGAGGATGAAGCTAGACTTCTTAGTGGTGACAGATGACAGAACAAGGAGCAATGGTTCCTAGTTGCCGGAAGTGAACTTTAGGCTAGATACTAGGGACCGTTTTCTCATGAGGAGAGTAGTAGAAGCACTGGAGCAGGTTACCCAGAGAGACTGGCATCTCCCCATCCTAGGAGGTTTTTAAGATCTGACTGTACAAAGCCTTGGCTGGGATGGTATAGTTGGGGATGGTCCTGCTTTGAACAGGGTGTTGGACTAGATGAGCTCCCAATGTCCCTTTCAACCACCCTAACTTTTTATGAACCTTTTTAGCATTGAAGATTGAACAGTGACAAATGAAATCAAATTAAGCAAAAGTAAAGCCAAAACATAGTACTTAAATGCATGTGGGCTAGATGTGCAGCTGGCTAGCTCTTCAAGCATTTTGCTTTATATTAACTTCTTTTTCTTTATTAGCTTCACTTACTTTAAATACATCTTTGTTGTTATCATCACAATCATCAGTTTCCTCCTGGATACTCTTTATCTGGATATTAGGTCAAGTGTTCAGCTTTTGTTACCTTCTCTAATCTTCAATTTTAAAACACAATTACCAGGTTTTCATCAGTGGAGGTCTTCAGTCTATTTCTTTTTTTCTTTAATGGATGATTCCCCAAACCAACCAGTTTCATTCTGTACATGTGGCACTACACAATAATCTTACACACATTTCTGTTGCTGCAGATAGAGTAAGAGCAAGTGCTTTTTTAATTTTTTGCTGAGATTCCATTCATGCTTCTTGCTTTTACACATTGCTGCCTCTGTTAGAACGGTTTGTTTTGATATCCTTTGAAATTTGCAACAGCCACTATAATGTTGCAGACTGAATAAAAATGATCAGGCAAACCTTCACCCCAGGAAGTGTAGGTCAAGAGGATATACAGCATTAGATGCAGGAGTGATCACTTGATCTTTCCATTATGTTTTTGTCTATTAACTTTTTCTGTTCAGCTTTTGAAAGCAGACTCACAACTGTGTTACTTTTAATATTCTGGAGCTCATTCTTAATGTGTCTCAGTGTACAACTATCATTTTCTGTTTTACAAATGGACTAAAATGTGTTTTTAAGCATTGAAATGAATTTTCACCTTTACATCCAGAAGACTGGCGATTAGCTGTGTTAGCCTGCAGTCAGATAGAAGATAGGGCAAGGTGGCACCTTCGAGACTAACTGGTTCAGAGATGCATCAGCTTTTGTAAAAAAACAACCTACTTTGTCAGATGCTATGAATGGATTTGCCTAAGACCCTGGCCTTTCGGTCTTTGACTGTCCGTGATTACCTAGGGACCTGCGTCAGGGACTTACCTTCCAGTTCAGTTTCTGAAGAGGGACTTTACCTCTTCAAAAGAAAAAGAAATAAACTCCAAGTTCCAAGCAACAAAGCACATAGGTTCTCCTAAATAAAGGCATTTATTGGGCAAAGGTTATGCTGCAAACGCTTGCCTACTTCCTCCTTCTTTCTACCCATTGGTTAGGAGTCCCTGTCTCTCCAGTGCATCCTGCACAGCCCTGAACACCCCAAATTTAGTCCGACTGTTCTCTCTCCAGTGTGCACAGCCCTGAACACTTCAATATAGTATGGCTATTCCTCATCC